ATATATTTAAATATATAACTTTATTTTGTATATTTATTTGTTTTCTAATTTTATGATGATAATATAAAATGATGATAAATATATAAACAATTTTTATTTCGTAAATATTCTATATAATTCTATATATATTATTTATGTTTACAGATGAGAGTTCTCTTGATTCAAAAATGCCTGTGCGTTTTAGACTGGGTTTAAATAAACAAGATTCCAGAGAGTCAAAAGTTTCACGAAAGGCATCTAAAAGACAGGGTCGCAAGGTAAATCATAAAGTCAATTTGGCTGTAACAAATACAGAACATATTTTATAGTATAAAAGTTATACTTTATAACATATACAATTTGCATCTTTAAATTCTTTTAGAAACATAATATGTGTACACAATTTCATGTATACACTACTAATATTTTATTTGCTATGTTTGCTAGATTTGCTATATGCCAATATATTTGGCTTCAATAAATTAATTGTATCAAATATTATAAAAATATTGCAAAATATTGTTAATTCTCTTTTTTAATAATTAGAATCATAAAAATGGATCAAATAAATGTATATAATTTATATTCACAGTAACAAATTTATGTAGAAACTTTATTACAGATAAAAACTATGAAAAAAATAATTTTGTTGATAAACATAAAAAATTAGTTTTGAAAAAAATTTATTTATCTTTTTATCACTTTTGAAAATATAACTATATACGTTAATTTTTGACGTTTAAATTTTTAATTTTCTTAATAACATCACATTTATAATGTTTAATGATAATGAATTGTATGATTTTGAATCATCATTTTACATTAGATAATACTTGTATGTATGAACTTTTTAAATATCATCTTAAAAACTGGATAGTACAAAATAAATATTAATTTGTGTCAAATGTAGCATTTAATATTTCACAATATAGTAAAATATATTTAAGAATATATTTAATATAATAAACATGTTCATTTATAATTTCTATTTTTTTATAATTATGTCATTTTGTTTTATATCATAATATTAAAATAATTTAAATAAATTGTAGCAAAATGAATATTTTTATGAATTAAAAATTTCTTAATATATTTATATAAATATCTTCTATATTCGTTAAACAAATATAATAAAATTAAAAATCTTAAATAATTTAAAAAAATAAAATTAATTTAGGAAATATTTCTATAAAATTAATACAATTTTAGATTATTTACAAATTTATATGAATATTAATATATTAGTATCAATTATTTATATTATTAATTTTAAAAATTAATATTTTTAAATTTGTTGTATTAAATATACTTTCAAATAGTAAGTTTTAAAATGAATATGCAATTTATCAGTCTTTTTTTTATGTTTTCGTGTTTAATTATATAATATTATAGTTCATAACTTATTATTTTAAATATATTTTTTAAGTAGAAATCTTAAAATAAATATAGCATAATAAATATTTGTAATATAATATGAATAATTTACAGATAGCATTTTTTAAATATTGTATGATGCATTATATATACATATAGTAAATATATTTCATATATTCATATATGTATATTTAAAAATAAAAAATATATAAAAATGTTTATAACATTTCATTTTTATTATTATTATGAAAACAAATTACAACATTATTGATACTGAAAATTGTATCTTGTTCAATATGCTAAAAATATTTTAATATATTATAAGTATTCAATTTTATTTTAAAATATTATTTAAAATTTTTTTTATCTTATTTTTATAAATGAATAAACATTATATGTATTGAAATCATATATACATATATTTCATTTAACATTGTAATTATATTTACAAGTAATTAAAGAATATATATAGCAGAAATCATTGGACACAATTGTTGAAAAGTATAAATTTTAAGGAAAGTAGAACAGATATATTTGAAGTTATTTAACAAGTATTAAACCAATTTTTTCTTTTTTGATAAAGTTTAAAAATTATAAAATTATAAAATTTTTAAAAAAAGCTCTTATAAATTTAGATGAATTTAGTTCTTTTGCCAAATGATAAACGTATCTACTCTTTTTTTTTGTTTAGGAGTAAACTAAACGTGTGTTCTTCTGATTGCTTATATATATGAAGAGTGCATAGCTGTTCATCTTACCTCCTATTTTATTATCAGCATATGAAGATAAAATCTATTAAAACTTTAATTGTATTAAAAATTGCACTCTTGTAGAAGAAATATCTGTTTTATTTGGCGTGTGATCTAGCATAAAAATGAAAAAAACATTCTTCTAGATGACAATATCAATATTTCAAAGTACTTTATGTATGATTGTATCTAATTATTTATTGTTAAGTGTTATAGTAGATAGTTGATTACATGTGATTATAAATCATTTGTTGTGTTAAAGTATTTGTAAATAATTTACATCAGTCACTCATTTAATAAATAAGTATCATTAATAATCCCAAAGTCACCTTTTGTAAACCTAAGTATATTAATATTTTAAAAAATTCTGTATAAAGGAATCAATTGTAAATAAGAATGCTGTTAATAAGCGTGTAAAGTGAAAAATAAGTTGTATATCATGTAAATTGAGTTATTAATAATATTATTAAGATATTGAATACATCATATAAAGTGACTTCTATAGCAATAGAAAAATGATTTTATTAAAATATATTTTATTACATAGTTTTCAAAAGTGACAAGCACGAAGATTTGAAATTTGAAAAATGCAGTGTACCTTAAAATGGCTTTTATCGGCTTGTTATTTCATACTTGAATTATTGCAAATGATTATATTATATTTAAGTAAAAATAAGAGGGTGTATCTACATATAAAGATTATATGTAATTAAATATTATGATTCAATTATTAGAATTATATAATTTTCCAGAATTAAAGAATTATTTAGTAAATTATAATAATTTTAATTTTTCATTATATTCTCTATTATAATATTTTAGAAAAATATATAATATGGTTTTTTGTATTTTACATGATATTAATTATGATTTTCTCATATAATTAGATTTTATCATTATATCTATAATTGTTTTATTTTTATAAATAGCATGTAAAATACATATTGAAAGTAAATTAGTTAATCATATGTTACCAATAAGCTGATTTAGTAGCTAATATACTTACAAATGTAAATTTAGATTATTTCAGATATTATATTTCACATATGAAATAGCATACTTCATAGTATCTATGAAGATGTAAGTGTTATTTTTAATTAAATAAAAAGATAATTATTATATTTATATGAACTTTTTTTAATAGAAATTTTGATATAAAAATATTTATATATGATACCTTAGAATAAATTTATATGATTCTGAAATTTATATGATATGATTCTCATAAAAAATTTAATCATTATGTATGTTATGATTTATATTTTGTTGGTCATATCATAATGATATAATTTTAAATATACATTAAAAAGGCAACATATGCCTTGTGTCAAACTATGGTTTTTATATTTTTTTATTTATATGCCTTTATGCATATGTTTTAAATATCAACTCCAAGAGTTGAATAATTATATTATTGTTATAAATATAAAATAACTCAAAAGACTTGCAATTGTTGAATTTATCTACCGTACAAAATGTGATACATAAAGACTTTTACAATCTTATTAATAATAAGAAAATGACTTATTGTAGAATAACACCGGTAATTTTTCAAATTTATTTAAAAACAAATCATAAAATATAATGCATAGTTCATGAACATAAAAATTTATTTTATATTACATTTAAATTATTCTTCTTATTTCTTAATTTTTAATTTATATGCATTATTTAAATAATTATTTTTAATATAAGATAAATATGATAATAAATATATATAATATATATATATGAAAAGTAATTTAATTTATTTATGAATTTTACTTGTAATTGTGTTATTCTATAATAAGAATGTAATAAATTTGTAACTTTGATTACTATTGTGATGTTTGATTTATTTATCTATTTTTTGTCACTGTAGTAAATACAGATGGAATTAATTAAACAATTTTCATAACAATTTACAAACTTGAATGATAAAAGATAACAATAATTTGCATATTTTCATTTTAATATTTTATTATTTATTATATTATTATAAAATATAAACTTTATTATCTATTTATTATGATTTTATTATTAAAAATTTAATTTTCTTTTCCATCTGTAATTTGCTACATAAATATTCTTATTATTGCGTACAATTGTACTATTTGTATAATTATGTACTTGTACTTACATTTTTTTACAAAATAACATATAGGTTTTAAACTGTTTAGACATAACAAAATACAAATCTCAAGTATTAATATGAAGTAAGATTAGTAATATATAATAATATATTCATATTATTTAAAATCAAGATTCTTATTTCAGAAAAATATAAAATAAAATATTTTTGACTAAACTGTTTAATTTTATTTTTTACTATCCTAAAATTCATGAAAAACAATATATTTTATTAGATATAATTACAATTATTTTTAAACTATTTAATTATAAAATAAAAATTATGTATCTTTTTTTTATATTGTGTATAGTTTATAGTTTTTAGCTATATTAATTTCAATAAATCATATAATTTAAATTATTAATATAAAGTTAAATTTAATAAATTATTTAAATACTAATTCTAATTATATTCTGAATATTTTCCTACTTTTTTTTCTATATTTCATAGTACTTGAATTTTTTTTTTTTTTGTAATTTTTACATTTAGAATATAATGCTCAAATACGATATGAAACATTTTTAAAATTTAATTTGAATTTTTTGAATTTAAAATTTAATCATTTGAAATATTTTTGGAATAAAATCTGATAATAATTAATTTATAATAATTAATTAACCATAATAATTAAATAACTATAAACTAATAATAATTAATTAACTATTATTAATCCATAAATAAATTAAACACGATTCAATATATAATTTTTCAAAACTTGATGAAGTAAGTAAAAAGCGCAGACGCAACTAGAGTGTTTTAAACGGGTGGTAGTACGAAGTTTACTAGTAATCAATGGCGTGACATAGCATACTTAAAACTTGAAGATCATTAGTGTAGACAGTATTGAATTTAACTGTATTAAAAATAGTTACATTAACCTGGATCTTATAATGTTGTGTTTCATTATAATCAAATAATCGCGTATTTAAAAAAAAAATTATTTCTTGATAAGTATAATAACATTATTTTTAATTTGAAAAATAATATACTCTTTAGACACTGTAAAATACAATTTCTCTGCTAACTACTGTATTATTAGATTTTCTTAATACGGCAGCCATAAAACATTTTAATTTAAAGAATTGTTGAAGTAACAAAAAATGAAACAATCATGTGATATAATTACAATAAAATTAAAATGATAATGTATATAATATATAATAAGTAGTTAAATACATTATGAATGATAGATTAAATATAAAATATGCTATTATAATCTTTGATGAAAAATGTAAAGAAGGTATGTCATATTTTGTGATTTAAAAAAATTTGTTTATAAAATAATATATATTTAATATATATTAAATGTAATAAAGTAAATAAATTATAATGTTAATACACATTTTTATATATTATTTACAATAAAAGATTTCTTTATAATAATAAAATTCTTTATATTCTTTTAAAAATTATAATATTTGATATAATATTTTATAAAAGATATATATTTTATTGAAATGACAATTTAATATTTTTTCTTTTAAATTTAAAAAAATTTATAAAATAATTTATATTTATATAATTATACATAAATAATATTATTTATAAATACATAAATATAAAATTTTTCTTATTTTTTTTGATATAATATAAATGATTTTTTAGCATTCATTATAAATATTATATTAAAAATAAAAAAATTGTTTTAAAATATTTATATAATTGATTTTTAAAATAAATATTTTAAAATTTATTAATGCAAAAGATAACAAATAAATTTAAATTAAACTTCTTAAAATTTTAATATTAAAAAGAATATCAATATTTCTGTTATAATTTTTTTTGTAACAGAATATTTTATCATATCATAAATTTAAAAAATGATTCATATGAGTTAATATGAAATGAAATTACACATTTATATAAATATGATAATAATAAATATTACATGTTTCAAAGAATAAATAAACCTAAATATGGGTAGTAGAGGAATTGGGGATATTCCAACAATATTTCATCCCCAGCAGACTTACACACCAAATATTATTCTTGGTGATAATCAGCAGAATCATGGCTCTCATAATACTGGTCAAGTTACTCATGACAATTCTGGTAAGTATTAATTATTTATGTATGATATAATGTGTACACACACACACACACACACACACACACACATATACATACACATTATATTACTTCTTTTGCCAATCTTGTATAATTCTAAAAATAATATTTTCAATTATGTTTTTAATCTTAAAATTTTTTGATATCATCATCAATAATCATAATCAAAGAATATCATAATCAAAGAAGCTAAAATTAAAATCTAGATTTAAAAATTAGATTTTTTTAGAATTAAAATTAGAATTTTAAAAAAAATTGTATAACAAAATTAATTTTTGTAATATTTGACTTTAATATAAAAAAATGAAATAATATTTTCTTCAAAAAATTTTATAAATATTAAAATTAATTTTTATGATAATTGATATAAAAAATAAAATAATATTTTCTTTCAAAAATTGATTTTTAACAAATTTTTTTTCTTCTTTCTTTCAAAATTGATTTATAATTAATAATTAATAATTATATAATAATTAAAATTAAATCATATTAAATGATATCAATTTTAAAACATTATTTATATATTTCTTTCAAAAACTTACTCATATTTTTGTTCAGTATTCTTTAATTTGATTCTTTAATTTGATGATTACTATGATATTCAATGATTGCACGATTAATATTACTTATTACTATGACAATTAATATCAAAAAAATTTTACTTGAATTATATAATTTCTAAATATTTAGGCTGTGAACAGCAACAGGGATGTAGCGTTAGTGGTGGTTGTGGTGATTCCGTACCAAGTTGTCGTTCCTTGGAGACAAGTGGTAGCGGAATCGCTTCTGGGGGAACCGATAATCAAGGGCACAATACGAGTCAAACTCAAGTTCAATCCCATGTGACAGTATCGCCAGTTACTTATCAACAAAGATCCAATTCTCTATCCGCTTGTTACGCATCTTGTTGTGCCGAATCTGCGAAAAAGGTTTAATTTTCATATCTATATAATTTATTATTAATAATCTTAAAAGAAAATAGAAAATTATATTTTATATAATTTAAAAAATTCTTATTTTTAAAATTAAGAGCTTGTTTTTCTCTTTTTTAAAGTACAAATTTTGTAATCATTTTATTTTTTTGTATAATTTTTCGAATTCTAATTCTTAAAATTAATAATTTTCTTATTTTAAAATCCAAAGTCATAAATTTAATAATATAATCACATAATTTATTATATATATATTTCCTTTATATATTCTTTTATATTTATTAAAAATATATAATTTATTATCTGATGTTCGCATGTTACAATTTCAGATATATTTTGGGGTGTGCGTTACAATATGTGTTACAGCAAGTTGGGTCGGTGCAACACATTGTATTAAATATTTATATTTTCACAAACACGAAATTTCTACTTATTCACCGTTTTCTAACTCGTCTATTACAGGACATCACCAGCATGTAAATATATAATATCTTTGCAGTTTTACAAATTTTTATTATATTTAAATAAATCCGATATATTTCTATAAAATAAATTATAATTAATTATAGTTATATGTATTTCTATATAAATTTGATAAAAATTTAGATCTATTTATTTCAATTTATTTCATAATTCAATTATTTCATAATCATTATTTCATAAAATAATTCAATATTTTAGTAATAAATAATATAGTATATATAAAAAAATATAATTTTCAATCGAGTTATATTTATATTAATTGTTACATCACTTATTATGTAACAATTTAAATTTTATAATTTTTTCGTTTTACATAATAAGACATAAAATCTAAAGTTCAACTTAACTAATTTAATTTATTTTAGTTAATTTAATTTATTTCAAATCAAATATTGTTTTTAAAATTTTTTTTTAATTTTTCGATAAATTCGATATTATTTTATTTTTGAATAACTATTTTAATTTATTTGTTACATATTTTTTTCTTTTTTTTTCCAGTTTATTTCTTTTATTTTGAGATTTACATTTTATGATGATATTTTTAAAATATAAACAATACATTGCAAATAATTCATTGATTTAAAATAAAAAAATGAAGAAATAGCATTTATTCTTTTAAAAATTTTCTTTTCAGAATAAATGTATAAATTGCAATTGATATAATGATTATATGATACGAATGTCGATATTTATAAATAATTATAAATAATATAATTTATTATATTATTTATAATTATTTATAAAAATATAAACATAATATTAATTTAATTAATTATTTTATTTTAAATAAAATCTATTATCATTCTTAAAGTTATATAACATTCTTAAAGTTTTTTTCATATCTTTCTTTTTAGGCGATTCCATATAATGCTCCATTCTTTACAACTTGGTTTTGTACAAATTGGGAAATTCTTTACTTCCCAGTTTATTTTCTTTGCCAATCTGCAAGAATTAAATGTAATAGTCCATCCGAAATAATTGCAGAAAGTTTACGAGGTTTTCGTGACAAAGGATTTACCGGTGGTCGTTTCTTAATTAGATGTAGTCTTTTTTGTGGACTTTGGGTAGTTACAAATTATATGTATATTTATTCGCTTAGAATATTATTAGCTACCGATGTAATGGCACTTTTTGCAACAAACGTATCTTGTGTGTATTTGTTATCGTGGGTTATTCTTCATGAACAATTTGTTGGAGTAAGGGTGAGTATTCATAAAATTTATAATGTATTTTTAATTATTAATTAATGTTAAATTATTGTACTTATTAAGCTATTTATAATAAACCTATTACAGATAGTAGCAGTCATTTTATGCAATACTGGAATTGCACTTTTAGCATATATGGACGGCATAACTGGAAGTCCAACTTTAGGAGGTGTTGTTTTAGCAACATCGGCAGCAGCTGGTTCAGCAGTTTATAAGGTAAAAATCAATGTTTTTATATCTTTATTATTTCAAGATTTCATGCGCGTGACTCCAAGCATGCTTGTTATTACTCATTTCATTGAATATTACTTTACTATTACTTTCGAATATTTGTCAAATTTTTTCTCAATGCGACCATAATTGTTTATGTTAAAAAAAAGATAATAACTATTTAATTAATTATATTTGAATCTAATAAAATAAAAATAAAAATAACAAGATAAGCAAAGACAAAGCACGCTAAATAATTCGAGCGATAAGGATTAAGATTATAATATAATTTATCTTGTTACTATTTTAATATTGTTTAAATTATTAATATATCAATATTATATCAAGATAATTCAATGGATCTTATAAAAGTCATAATATAATGTTAAATTAGGTGCTGTTTAAGAAAGTCATAGGGGAAACAACATTTGGTCAAATGTCTTTATTCTTTTCACTTATTGGATTGTGCAATGCGGCATTATTGTGGCCAATTTGTTTAGCTCTTTACTTTTCGGGAGCGGAAAGCATACAATGGGGACGATTACCATGGACGGCATTACTTTTGGCAAGCATTTTGCATTTAAGTTAGTATTTTACTTAATATTAATTATCTAGAATTCAAAAAAAGAGATTAAAATTATATTTTATTATTATTTAGTTGCAAACATGCTTGGTAACTTCAGTATTGCTTTGACCTATGATCTATTCATTACATTAGGATTGATCACCGCTGTACCTGTATCCGCAGGTACGGTAAAAATATAACTTTATTAATTTAATTTATAATAATCATATTTAATAATTGTTCAATATTATGATATTACAGCATTGGATGTTCTTTTATACGGAGCTCATTTTATGGGCATGAAATTGGCAGGAATGATTTTTATAGCAGTTGGCTTCTTTCTCGTGATGTTTCCAGATAATTGGCCAGATTATATAACCAGACTACTCCGGTATGCACTTTAAATATAATTTTTATACATAATTTTATGGTATGTTTATAACTTTTAAATGAATTTTTTAAATGAATTTTAGTTTTTAGTTCTGTAGATATTCTAAGCGTCCTATGTTTGTCCTTTTTACATACACGTGTGCGCGCGTGTATGTGTATGTATATATGTATACATCGTATGTATATATACATATTTATATATTTCTTCTTTCCATTTTTGCAAGAATATTAAAATGTCGTTTATTTTGTTTTGCACCATAGAGGCAATGTAGTCTCACTGATGTAGGATATGCTTGATATATAAAAATGGCCTATAAATATCTATCTTTCTATTATTCACTTCTGTATTTGAATTTCTTTGAAGCATATCTAACTTCATATTTCATATTTGTGAATAGCTTTTAATAAAAAAGACAATCTATTTTCAAATTATGCAATTATATATAATATGTTTGTATATAACATTTTAATATTATGCATAAAATTATCACGTATAGTGCTTCTGCTATCACGTTAATTCTGTCAATAATTTTAAAAAAGTTGAAATATTTATAAATATAAATAATATATTTTTATATTAAAATTCTATTACGTTAATATTTTCATTGATAATAATATTATATTTTTTTTTAAAATGCTGTACGTGTGTTTACATGTATAGGTAAATTTAAAAGACTGATTTGGTCTAAACAAAATATTTTTTTATGTTTAATTAAAATATTATGCTTAATTAAAAATGTGTGATAGTTCATTTAATGGTTTTATATTTTTGCTGTGTAGAAAAGATTCAAAGCAAAGAGTAGACATTTTCTTTGCCATTAGAGGTACTGTGTGTTTCATGAATTAACAAAAATGAAAAATGGCATTGATATTATTTTGCAGGATGCCTGGAATATGCAACAGGTTTAAAGTATAATTAAAAAAATATCTTTTATATCCAAGATAAATATTTCATGATATTGAATAATTAGTTTTTATTCGTTGAAATGATAGACTTACAAAGCTCAAAGTTTATAATAATAACTTGAAATTGCTATCTTGTTAATACAGCTTTTAGATACTTGCAAATTGTGGAAATATATAGTAGTTAGAATATATACAATTTGCTAATAATTAATGTACAATATAATGATAAATTAAATGCACATAAATTTGTTGAATGAAAGCTACTATTATTATAAAATATCTATAAAAATATTTAATTTATTTCTATATGCAATATTTCTTTTAAAAATTCAATTTTTAAAAACTGTCAGACTGACTACAGTCTAATCAATTAATAATTAATTTGAATTATTATTATTAATATTAATATAATTATTAATTATCGTTCATAATTTAAAAATAAAATATCGTAAAATATTTTTTGTTAATAATTAAAGAATTTAATTAAAAACTATAATTTTTTGTATTTTATGCATTATAAAAAAATAATTAATATTGAATCTTAATTTATAAAATAGAAGAATTTTTATTTGTATTTGGTTTCTATTTCGTTAGAAAATTTTATTATTATTTTTTTTTTTTATAAAATTTATCTTATTTTTTAATTTATTTTTAATATATTGGTTACTAAAACATTTGAAAATAATATCATATATTATATTCTGTTTTTTGTAATCGAAAAAGGATTTTTACGTGTTCATTAATGATCTTTTATGTGTTTAGAATATTTTAGAGTAAAAAAATAAAATTTAAAAATAGAATTATAAACATACTAATAAATTATATATATATTATAAGCATATATATATTATGTATTTTATATGATATTTTATAAATTATTTTAAAAATATTTTCTTATCTTGTTTTTAATACAGTAATATTAAAAAAAAAATTAGCTGCGATTGATGATCGACATATTAATATAAAATGTGTATATATAAAAACAAATAAGAAGTAAAGCAACAAGATTAAAATTAAATAAAATAATTTAATAAATTTAGTTTAATTTAATTCAATTTAAAAAATAATAAATAAAATAAAACCAATTAAAATATAATAAAATATATAAAATAAATTATGAAGAGATAAAAAATCTGTAACATTTTTTTTTTTTTTTGCGTTATTTATATTTTAATTTACATTTTCGTTTTTTTTCTATTCGCTCACTTTGCTTATTTAGATATTTCTAATGTTATAATTTTACATTGCTCCATTAATCCTTTTTTAATATTTTTTAATATTAGAAATAAAATTATATAATAAAAATTAATAAAATTATATTAGAAATTAATATTAGAAATAATGATATTATATGAAATAATAATGAATATTAGAAATAACATACAAGAATAATTATATTTATACTTGTATAAATACTTGAATAAATGCAGGCATTATAGTACATGAAATATATTTGCAATAATTATTTTTTAATATATTGAAACAAATATTATAATTAATATTATAATTAATATAAATATAAATATATTAATATAAATATATTTTATTTCATCATATATATTAAATATTTATTCTACTATATTAAAGAACAATTAATTAATTCATTTATTAAAAAATAAATATATATATAATGTTTCGTAAATCATTTTATTTAAATTTTAATGCGAGTCATTAAACTTAGATATGTTTTTTCTTATGGGGAAAATATCTTATTTAATGGAAAAAAAAAGGCAAAGTAAAAGATATAAAAATTATAAATATAAAAAAATTTCTGATAAATGAAATTTTGTTTATACAATATAATTGATTCTATCTGTAACTATGTTTTGCACAATATATAATTTAAAATTTAATATATAAATTTATAAAAAATATTGAATATTTTGAATTTAAAAAAAAATGAAAAATTGTTATATATTTTTGATTTAATTTTTGCAAAATTTGAATTAAAATTTTTAAAAAATTAATTAATTTTATTTATTAGTAATATATTTCAATTTTTTTTAAATTAATTTTAAAGGTTAAAAATACAATTTACTTGGATATTATATATTCAGAATTTGTTAATGTTACTTTCAATATGAATCGGAACATTCAATTACATAAGAAAATACAACAAAATTGCTTGAGCTGCTTGTTGTGTTGTTTATGATTCAACGTCAACACTTCATCACTCGCTTCCCAACAATCAGGATTATATGCTGTTACAGAAACATAGTCCTCATGAGTCACAGTTCGAGGTAAGAAAAAACATCGCCTTCGTTTTATATGTTACTTATATCGAAAATTCATCTGTATTAATATCATGTTAATCATTATATTATCACTTATAGTACTTAAATATATATTACAAAAAATTATTATAATTAATAAATAATAAATAAAATAAGCATTATTATTAATAAGTAATGTATTAAATGAATAGCATTGGATATGATATTTTTATATTTTTTATATTATATTTATATTTATATATCAATTATCTAGTATTATATATTTTTTTATATTATATTATGTTATATTTTTCAATTATCTGTGTATTAAATGCAAAATTTATAATAATTATCAAATTATTTTTTTTAATTCAATAAAATATGTTAAAAAAATATGATAACAATATGAACTATTGTTAATTACTAAATATTAATTAATAATATTTCTTAAAATATATATTTTATATTTTAAAATGTAATTTTTAAAATTTTCAGATGAATTTTCTTCAAATGACAAATATAACGAAATGCATGATATGTCGGATGTTATGTTACGTTTAATATCTTATCTCTGTATTTATAAAATTCTATGTGCCTTCTTTTTTTTTTTTTTTTTAACTAAAAAGCATGTACGTTTGTTATTTTTATACACTTTTATGTTATATTTTAATCTTTACTCTAATCTTAATGTATTATATATTTTATTAAATATCAAATTTTTTTCTGAAACAAAATAATAAAAAAAAAATAATACAAATAAATCAATACAAATTTAATTTATTGTTTTATATATTATTGAAGAAATGTTGTCTGTGAATTAATGTTAAAAAAGAAAATTTTTCGTTCATTAAATTTTCTATTCGATATTTTCTTATGATATTGAATATTGATTTAATCGACGTAAAAATTCTATAAATATAAATTGCATCTTTTAAATATTTAATATATTTTTTTATATTGTCTTTTTTCTTCTTATAAATTAAAAATTTATATATAATTGTAATATAATTCATTCAAGAATATTAGAAAATTTTTTTTATATTATATTTGCATACAATTGTGAAAAAAAAATAAATTAAATTAGAATAAATATTATATGAAAGTTTGAGCATTCAAACTTAGATTAAATTTTAGTTAATGACACTGAAATATTTATATTCTTTTATGTTTTTAGATATGTATATAGATATTTATGTAAAGGGCTAAGAAATGATGATTTTAACCAATGAAATTCATTGGTTAAAAATTTTGAGCCAATGAGTTTCAATATCAGAGGCAAACATTTTTTGAATTCAAATCTATCAAAATCTAAAAAAGATAAAAAAAAAGTTCAAAATTTTTAATGTCTTAAATTAAGATTTAGCATTGATTTATATATGTATATATTATTTTTCAAATCGGTAGGACAGTGAAACAATAAAATAAAATGAAAGAATAAATTCTTTCTATATTAACGAACTATCTATAATTTCTTTAATAATGATAATAATGCATACATATCGTATAATAATATATTACAACATAAAAAAAAAACGGATAAAACTAAAACCACTGTCGAAAGAAGCCGTCTACAGGTCCTCGCAGGAAATAACGAAAATACTGATGAAAGGGATTAATATATGCAGTACCACGGGTGGACAGCAGCGAAGGAGCACTTTTGCTAGAAGCCGGTATTCCTCAATTCAACAACGGCAATATCGGCTACGAAGCTACGGTGTTTCATCGGCTTATGGTGATGGCCAAATGTTACTGCCAATGAACAGCACTAACAGCAATCAAGTTAACAGCAGCCAGTCAAGCAGCGAGATGCCGATGACAACGTGCGCGAATCTGACACATCGGCACATTAACTCATCCCAGCAGAACAACACGGGTTCCGAATCCCAACGTCGCCGAATCCCTATTTCCATTACGACCTCAACCTCAACTCCGATTTCAACTTCCATCATGACAACTATCTCGACTTCGACCTCGACCTCAACCTCGATCACAACCTCGACCGCGACGAATAATCATCAACGTTCCCATCCCCCTGGCCTTCAGAACTAATGACAAGGTATGGCTGAATATTAAAAGCCGCGAATTGAAGTTCTGAATTTATGTGAAGTTACATCGAAAAAAATTATTAATATTTTTGCAATCAATTTCGTCGATAGGTTCATTTTTCTTTTATGTTTCTTTTTTTTTTATTTTTCATGTGATATCGTTATAAAAATTAATTCCATGATATATCCAGATAAATAAGAAAAAATAAAATTAAAAAATTAAAAAAGAAAGTTAAATAATATGAAAGTTTATTTCATTTTGTAAAAATTATGTTGAACGACATTCAAGCAGTAATAATTTATATGCGATTAATCAAAATACAAATTCAAATTTCTCTATAAATTTATCTATATAAATTATAGATTTATGAAGGGAAAATTGTATCAATCTTTAATTGAATATGATTTGTCTAATCGATTTATTAATTATCTTACAAAAGAATCATTCTAAATACAATTGAAATAAAATATATTAATTTATATCTCCTATTTTTATTTTCAGGTTATTGAAAAATACAAAAAATGTTTTGTAAATTCTATAATTTTTTCTATAAATTTATAAATTTTTGTTTAATATTAATTTTTACGAAGAAAAATGAAATGTAAAAACAACAATGTCATATAATTTTTTATGAAATCAAGTGTTGTTTCTTACTTAAATTTTTCAGCAATCAATTGGTCAGCAAAAAATTAAAAGAAATAATAAAAAAAAATATGTTTATTATTGGATTTAAATAATTTTTCATATTAATCATAAATTTTATATAATTATATTAAATATGTGTTTGTATATATATATTTTTTATATATATGTTCAGTATATTTCATCGTATGTATTAAATGTATCACATTGAATGTAACTTATTTAACTTGACGACTTCAAATTACTTGCAATTTACTCGTTGTATGATGATCGTAGTATTAATTATTTTGATGTGTATTTGTTTTAATTAATTTTTTGCTATTTAATTAATTTATTTCTGTATCTATACAAAAAATATCACTATTATAAATATTTCAATTATCTATCAGTTGAAATTGTGTTATATAAATTATATAATTAAGGATTTTTATTTTATGGATTTTAATTTTATTTTTATTTTAATTTTATAGTAAATTCTATAATATTATGATAAATAATCAATGTTTAGATTTAGATAAACTTTATACATTTTTTGTTCTCAGAAAACGGTCCAATTTTCACCTGTCATCGTATCGAGATCTACATGGAAGAAACTTTGAATATCGTACACAGTTTTGTCGGTGGTTTCATTTATTAAATTAATATTTACTTGTTAGTACATAGTTCGAAATATCATTTGAAATAACATTTATCTTACAGGTATTTTGGTACTCGGTACCTTTAGCTTTCATGTGTACGTCTTTCAATTGGCTTTTAATATTACTTTTCGTGTTTCATATTTTTTTGTTAGAAATCTTATCGAACAAATATTGATAATAATAATTTATATACATCGGTATTCTTTTCGATTTTAATCATATAATTTTTATCAAAGCGATTTTATTATGCAATGAAAAGCTGTGAGTACTTTAATGTTGTCGAGTTAATCATTTTATATTTTAATATTTTAAATAACGAATGATCAAGTTTTAAAATTTTATCTAATAAAGATATTTGCCTTTGTAATATATATAAATATGTAGATATCATATATACAGAATGCAATTGATATCCAAAAATTTAAAGAATGATTCGAAACGAAAATCAAGAATTTACTTTCTTTTTAATCAATGACATTAAAAAATACATACAAATACAAATATGAATAATTCAAGTAAAAAAAAGAAAAGATTGTCAAAAAAATTTTCTCTGTGAAAGAGAAATAGAGATAATAGAACATAATGTATTTTACCATATTCTACTATTAAAGATCTTGCCCTATTTTAATAATAGAATAAAATATTTCTTATTTCATTTTTAGTTCTATATTATTCCATTTTTTAAATTTTTTTTACAAAAAAATTTTTTGCAAATCATCAGTAATAAGAATATAATGATTTTCAAATTCAATAATGGATAACAACTTATCTCATATAAATCATAGAACTATAACTTGAGGATCATTATATTATTTTTCATTTCTTAAATTATTGTATATTTGTTCATAAGAATTGTATACATCCAGAATTATTTTCATTAGTTTTTTTTTTTAATTCTGAATAACTAAGAAACAAAGTCGAAAATATAATTTTTATAATCTTGATTTTCGATTTATTTTAGAAAATTGTTTAATTCATCTTTTAAATTTTTGCATATCTGTAACTAAATCGTTAATTTTGAAATGTTAGTTTCTGGTAGATTGTATTTTTATCAAAATTATTATTACTTAGTACATGCAATAACATGCCTGCATTTAAGAATGACTGGAAACTTTTCCCTGTAGCTAGATAATTTTGTATTTCTTTCTCCTATTCTTTAATGTAATATTCATTTAAATGTAATTTAATGGAATGAGAAGTCGTGACTAATGTCATGCTGCTTGGCGTTTCGCGTAACAATTTTCTTTTTTAAATTTAGTTTATGATGTAATGTATTGTTAAAATTTGCGGATACTTCTATTAATATTTTTCTATATTTAAAAAATCTTTGCTTTTAATTTATTAATCAATATAACTATATTTATAGATAATTTTATAATATACCATACATTTTCTTGTTGAAAAATATTATACATAATATTATATATTTCATTTAATTAATAAAATTTTTAAATATATCAAAAATAGATGAAATATATTATAAAGAATTGAACAAATTAATAATTTTCTATAAAAATGTTTGAAACATTATCTATATAGTTCAATTCAGTATTTTTTTTATTTTTCTTTGAACAAAGAAACAAACCGCAAATTTTAAAATTAAAGATGTGTAAAGCTATCTTTGTAGAAATTTTCTATAATTCATATTAAATTAGAAAAATTTTGTTCAAATTGTATGAGATAATTAGATAATTTCTACAATTTAGCCGTTTATTGCTGAAAAAAGAAAGAAAACATATATAATATTTGCATGTAAATGAAGATGTTATTTAGAAAACCAAGAAATGAATAATCAAAGATTTAATTACAGATGGAGCAGAAGACATGGACACGGAGTATCAGGAAGTACGCAACGTGACGTAATTGATTATCGTACTGGCTATATAAAATCACATCTTCGTTCTCCTTCAGGAAGAGTTCGGTGACTACGAATACTATCATTTCAGGTAGAATTAATTTGCCAAAACAATAATGTGTGGATCTTCGAAACGTTTACATTTCAATTTTAAAAATCTCAAAAAAATATTGATAAAAAATACAAAAACTCGGATAAAAAATTTTAATTACACTAAAAATTATACTTCAATTTATTCGTCGTATTTTATCTAAATATTTATTTTAGTTTATATTATTATTTTCAAAATTTTTATAAAAACTGTTGAATTTTCTCTTTCAATGATTCTATAGTAAATATTACATTATAATTCAGTTAAATTATTTACACTTAAAAAAGTTCAGTGAATTTTTTTTTTCAAATTCTGAGACATTATTTATTAAATTTATAATCAAAATATGTGTTTACAATTTATTATTAAAATATTATTAAATATTTATAAATTATATAAAATTGAATAAATTTGAAAAATTTTTTATCGAGATAATATATAGATTTTATCTTTGATAACTATCATATACACATATCTCTAAGAAATTTATTACCAAAAACTGTTAATTTTTTAATATCGACAATTATAATAAAATTCATTCATGATTTTCGATTTTAATAATATTTTTATTTTTAAAATTATAGCTACTTTATATAGTTGCTTCTTTTATGAAAGAAGATATATATATATATATATAAAACATCAATTATTATATATATAAAAAAAAATATATAATGCTATATGTTATATATAAATCTATATGTTTTATATCATAAAAAAAAAGGAATATTATGAATGATATTGAACAATCATATCTCTATAGTCAATAGCAGATTAGAAATAAGATATACTATAATTAATTAATCAAATAATTTAGATTTTTATTAATATTACAATATAAATTTCATTTAAATTCTTTTTTTTAGAAACGTGATGTACAATAAAAATAATAGATATATTAAATTTTTATTTCTTAATTATATTTAAATTTTAGTATTATTCATAGTATCATGAAATTAATTTTATAATTAAGATAATTAAATTTAAAGAAAGAAAATCAAATTAGTTTGAAAGAGAAAATAAAACAGTCTTAAAATTTAATTATATAGATCGTCTATTAAAGAAAAATATTTAGAACTATTAATATAAAATATTTAGAAATCGTTCCTATCATGTTACTCACATCAAGTAGAGATATCTAACTTTTTATCTTGATAATTTTCCTTTTATTTATAATAAAAATTCTCTTGAATATTTTACATTCAAAGAAATACAAAAATTTTCATTTTTTTTAGAAGCTTTCCATCAGTATTAATGTAATATAGTCAAGATTAGTCTAGAAATACGTGATTCATATATATACTATAAAGACAATCAAATATAATAACAATGAATGAAATGAAAAGATTTTAATTTAATGCGATGTATTTAGTTATAATTTTATAAAATGCAATCTTATAAAATTATTATTTTATTATATATATAATTTTATTATCTGATTTAATACAATATTTAAACGATTTCTTAATGATTGAATAAGAAATAAATGTTCTTTAGTAAAGTGTTCTTATCAACAAATAGTATTGCGAATTTTTGGTTCGTGTTATCAAAAAAATATAAAATATTCGCTCAATTAAATTATATATATTATATATAATATATCAGTTAGTTTATTTTATAGTATAGATTTGAACTTTACTTCCATTTAAGAATTACTTATTTTTAATAACTAAAATTAAAATATAATTTTGCATGATTTATTTAAAATTTACGCAATATATGACAGTGATTTAAAACTACTTGAACGCATTCTATTAAATAATAAAAATATTTTAGATTCAAATCTTAAAAAACAATATTATGTTTATATTAACATTTTATGTTTTAGAATAATATTGTTTTCAAAACGTAAATTAAACATAAAAATTTATATTAAAATTTAAAGTTCTAATGGCATGTATTCGAACATTTTTGTGAGCTACTATGAAATAAAGTATGTAAGTACTTAAAAGTACTACATATCAGAGGACTGCTTATTAGATATGTATGTCATATTTATATTAATATTCATTCATAAAATTAATATCCATTTTTAGAAAATTTAATTATATTAAAGTCTATTAAAAATTATAGATCTCAAGAATTTTTAAACTTTTATATTATATATATGATAAACAAAATTGTATACTAAACTATCATTACGGTATTATTATTCCTCTTTTAAATAATCAAATCTTTGTTAAATAAAATGGAATATAAAATTAGATTACAATACTTGTATGTATTTATTTGATCATATTTAAAGTATATATCAAATTTATATAAACTTTTTTCCAATTTTAAGTGCAAATATAAATTTGTTTGATTAAAAATTATTCATTATTGATATTCACATATTATATAACTTTTTAAAAATGAGGAATTAGTAAATAAAAGTAAATAATAACACTTATGATACTAAATAAAAAGTATTAAATTATACAAATTTCAATTATTATTATTTAATATTATTTAGAAATAAATAATTTGTGTAACTGTTCTTGTTTTGTTTAAAACATATGTATATTATATAATTTATATATTATTTGACATATAGCTTTCAAAATTTTCTTAAAGTTCCTGAAAAATTTTTGGAAGTAAATTCTGTATATTTAGATGTACTTAATCAACGTATACAAAATTATAATGAATCTTCATGTTATTTTTAATAAGAAGAATTATTTATATAATGAATTTATTAATAAAGAAATTTATTAATAGGTATGGACAATTGTACAAATATACAATAAATTGTTATCATTATTTGTTTATTTCAAAATTAGATAAACTATACATTTAGCTCAAGTAAAATATCTTGTAATTTATAATGCATACGTCAATTATACAAATCATTAAACATTCTATATAAAATATATATAAATATATATAAAATATATATAAAATAATTGTATCTGTATAAAAAAATATAATTATTAGAGTATTTAATACATATATGTATATACAACGTAGCTTTAGTTAGTTTGAAGTTAATGTTTAAAAAATTACAAATATCATGTATGTCAATAAAAGCATTCAATTTATTAAAATATAATCGATATATTGACATCTAATTTTAATAAATAATTTATAAATATTTTAACATTTTTAACATATGAAATTGTTTGTCACTTATAACTTGTTTGTTACTTATTAATTTTACGAATTGGATGGATTGGATGATCTATATTAGATAAATCAGGTGGATTCTTCTCGTAATAACTAAGTTCTTGCATACCTTTTGCGGCGATTTCCCATAATTCTGGATGTTTCTGTTTAAAATTATTATACCATTTTTCTAAATAAGACCATGTATTTAATTTGAAATCGATAACTTCTAGACACATAGTTGCAGTAATTAAGGGGAAATCGGCGATAGTCAGTGTATCTATTAAATAAATATAATAATTGATATGTAACAATAGAAATGATACGAAGCGAAAGATCTAAAACTATCTCTTTTTGTAAAATATATCAGTATTATTAAAAAGTATTGTTTGTTTTTACAAATAAGAAAATAAATTTCTTAAATCAATTAAATTTTCGTACATTCACTGAAAAATCTTATAATCTTTTTAGTAATGTCTATTTTAGGAAAGTTTCATATCAAAACTCAAAATACTTACTACCCGCAGCATATTCTGAATTTTCGCGTTGTAGATATGTATTAAAAATATCTAAAGCCATTTTCATTTTTTTTCAAACCCAGAGGAGTTCTTTTATAATCGAAGAATATAGGAGTTATCTATATAAATATTTTAATAAAAAATAATTTTTATTAGTAAAAAAAGTATTACTAAATAATTTCATATTTAATTTTTTGAAATTAATATATAACAAATATGATAAAAAAAGAATTTAAAATGTTGCATTTTTATTTTTATAAAAAAGCAATTTTAAAATTCAAATATTCTAAATCAATTTCACATTATTAAATTATCAAAACAACATTTTTGTTTAATCTTAATCAAATATGATGTTTCTTTCATCTTATTAAAAATTTTAAAAATTAAAAAATAAAAAATAAAAACTGATAAACTAATTTTCACAATAAAAAAAGACAGAGAATTTTAGATGATTGACATATGTTGATCAAATACAGGAAAAGTTTTTAATCAACAAACAATTCCGATATTTTTATTGCATCATATTTATAATTGTACTATTGAATTATATTATAATAATATCATACAATCTTAATACAAATAAATCACTATGAATGAATCAATATAAAAACTTGTAAAAAAGTGTAACATTATACTTACCACGTATTCAGAAATATTACGATAATACATAGCCAAATTAAAACACAATCGATGATTAATTATTGCACGGGCTTTTGGATCCTTCGGATATAATTTTCCCATTTTATCGTATTTATCACCAAGATATTGTAGAATGGCATTGCTAATACATACATATTTAATGAAATAAATTAAAGAAAAAAAAAATATGTATCAAAAACGAAAATAATATTAATTTTATCTGTTCTTTCAATTCGTTACATTTAAATTAAATACATATTTTTTTATAGTCAGTTAAACAAAATAATAATATATGTGTATTTATATATATATTCTTATTTATTCATTAACATATACATAAGAAAACTTCTATGCATTTGACATTTGTATAAATTGTAATCTATTTTGAAACTTTGATATTTAATGTATTATTATTTTGTTCAGAATCATATTATCATAGATATGTATCATTATATTAATATATCGTTTATATTAATTTACAAACAATATTAATATAATATTAATTTTATAATATAATATAAATAATATTAATTTTTATAGAAATCATTTATTATAAAATAAAAAAATATATTAATTTATTAAATTTTTTTTAATTAAGTAATGAAATTTATTTTAATTTATAAATACCTTTCTCCCATTACAAGATCATCATCAATTAATACAGGTATCTCTTTTTGTGGATTTAACTATAAAAATGATTACACGTATTAAATATTATATTACGTAACAAAATATTTATAAATAAATTATTAAAATAAAAATACTTGTGCATATTTATCTGTTATATGTTCTCCCTTGCCAAAATCTACATCGATCAATTCGTATTGAATATTTAAAGCTTTTAAAGCTTGACGACAAGCAAGAGATGGTGGTCCATCAGAAACGCTATAAAGTTTCATTATAAATCTAAAATAAAATATAATTAATATATGATTTTATTATTAATAAAATAAGGATTCAAATTTTTATATTTATTATTTATATTTTACAAATAATTTTTAAATCTCAATATGACAGAAATTTATCTATTTTTTTAAATTAAAAAATTTTTAAAATTTTGTAATATCATTTTATTAAAATTTTAATTTTATTTAAATATTATCGTATATTTTTAATTTGTCATTTCGGCAGATATATATAATAATATTAAATTCAAATAATATCAAGAATGAAGTATTAGAAAATAAAAATAAATTATTGATGTTCATTAAAAATTATATAATATAAAAATTATATAAATATTTTGCAAAAATAAAAAAAAATTTTTTTATAATTATTTTTTTGCGTTTTATTTTACATATCAATTTTCAACATATCAATTGTATTAGTATTTATAATATATAATTTATTTATATTTCATATTTAATATTTCATATTAATTCAATCATTACAATATATTGAATTTAAAAAAAAAGAAACTAATGTATAGTAAATTTTTAAAGAAATAATACTCACTTGAAAATATCTAATTGACAATAATTTAGGAAAGAAAAGTCGTGTAGTATTTATTTGAATGTAAGACTGTACTGACATTTTATTGCACAAAGTTCCTTTCTCTTTACTGTTTCTCAAGGTTTTGATGTTAATGATAACCTATTTATAGGATAATTATAGAATGATAACTTAAATTATAATATATAACAGTATTAAAACAGTATATACATATACAATAATATTTAAATATCATATATGCTGATTTAGATATTTGATAATAAATATATATTATTAATAAATATATTTATATTTGTAATAATATAATCTTTTATTTAATAATATATTAATATTAATTTTTTTAATATTTCACATTTTAAATATTAATGATTTATTTTAATATTGTTAAATAAGCTAATATTTTTATCATTAAATACTAAAATACTCTGAAAATATTTGGAAAAACAAAAAATATAACTTTTAGGGATATATTCTACCTGATAATATCATAAGTTTTTTCAATTAAAAATTTTAATCATATATTAAAATATACATGTGTTCTAATATATGCATAAATAATTATAAATATACTAATATATATACAGATTATAAATACATGCTATATGTTATAAAAAAATCTTATGAAAGCAGAAAAATTTGTTATTTTTTCTTTCTGAATTATATTATTCTAATGTAAAATTTCTAACAATAATTCTAGAAATATATTGAATAATATATTGAAAAAAGTTCTATATTTTGAAAAAGATTTATATTTTTTATATTAAAAATTGAAACGCGATTTATTTTTAAAAAAGAATGAAAGTAATGATTAATTGGTATTCTGTATTTCGTCTTTAATAATGCGCAAAAAACAAGGATAACAAATAGTAGAAGAAGGACAGAGATAAATGGAAAATTGTGAAATCAGCGCCATCTCTAGACTACTATAAATGAAACTAATTAGATAAACAAAGAGAATAATAAAGAAAAGACAGAAATAGAAAAAGAATTGACTATCAAGACTATTTTGCGCTACAAAATTTATGTAGTTAATTTTATTGTTTTCTAAAATAATGATACAAAAGAATATACAAAAAAATATATCAAGGCATACATACATATATAAAAGTGATGTGTATATATAAATACATATAATAGAAATATATTGTACCTGTGTTCTAAAAATTATATAGATTGAATTATATAGATTGATTTCATTTATTAGAATGTACAGATATATTTAGATAAATCTATATATATTTTTTTTTTAAATTTTATATGGTTTTATCAATATCTTCTAGATTTTCAAATTTATCATCAAAATATTTTACGTTAGAAAAAGTATATTAATAAATTTAGTACATAAATTAAGAAGTTTAAAGTAAAAAAAGTTTAAAAACTACACTGATTGTTATATATAAATTTCGCTTTTATTATTTAAAATTATTATAAAAATTATTAATTCGTTTTAATATTGAAATACAATATTTATATATATTTATTATATTTATATTATATACATTTTTTTTGTAATCTTTTTCCATAAATATTAAATTTTAGTAAAAATCTGCCCTTTTTTTTTTATTTTGATTGTTGATTTTTTTTTTCATCTTTCTTGTCGCATTCTCATTGGTTTCAATTTCTAATTTATATAGTATTTTTTTTCCAATGATTCTTAATGGTTGGTTCTAATTTATGTAATATCTTTTTCCAATGATTGGTTGTTTTATGTTATTCTAAATATAAGATATTTCATCTCTATATATAAATATATTCATGCACAAATTAAGCCTATTTACAATTCAGTACCGCATGGACGAAACGTATTTCAGTATTTATTTTATTGAATAGATATTTAATTTATTAAATAAATATGTCAGTACCCGATAAAGTATTGATGCGAAAAATTAAGAAACGAGAAAAAAAGAAATTTGAAATTTTAAAAGATCGAGAAAAACAAATACAAAATGGTAAGTATATCTAGAACATTTAACCTAATTGAATATTGAACCTATTATAACTTATTCTTGCATAAAATTATTAATATTAATTGGTAATTTATTAAAAGGTGAAACTGCAATTGAAAATTCAGAAAATAATAGTCAAGAAAATAAACTAAATGATTTAAATGGATTAAAACGATATAATATACAAGAAAATGGACCAATAAAAAGTAAGTTAAAATAATTATTTATTTAAAATTTGTTATTAATTTTTGCTAATATTTTATTAATTGTTCAAACCAAAAATATATATTATATTTATATTAATATGATATATTATATTTGTATTATATTATACTTCTAAAATAAACAGATATTTTATGATTATATTATATTATAGAGAAAAAAAAGAAAATAAAGAATGATGGAATATTAGAAGATAATATTAGTTGTACCACAGAAGGTGGTATTGATGATGCAAATTCTACAATAAAAAATAATATTGATAATATAACTATAAATTGTAAGTATATATATATATATTTTATATGGATAGTTATGTGTATATTATTTTGATTTATTTTTATGTTGTAGTACCTGGATCTACAATAGGCTTAAAAGTAGCAAATGATACTAATTTCAAAGTATTAGAAGAAATTGTTTGTGAAAATACTTTGAAAGCAATAAAAGACATGGGTTTTACAAATATGACAGAAATACAAGCAAAAGCTATTCCTCCTTTATTGGAAGGAAGAGATCTTGTTGGTGCTGCAAAAACAGGATCTGGAAAAACTTTAGCATTTTTAATACCAGCTATTGAATTAATTTATAAATTAAAATTTATGCCTCGTAATGGTATGTGAATAAGAAAAATATTTATGATATATTTTATTACATTATTATTTGTAGGTACTGGTTGTATAATTATATCTCCAACACGAGAATTATCTATGCAAACATTTGGAGTTTTAAAAGAATTAATGAAATATCATCATCATACATATGGTTTATTAATGGGAGGTGCTAATAGACAAACAGAAGCTCAAAAACTTTCAAAAGGAATTAATATTGTTGTAGCTACACCTGGTAGATTATTGGATCATTTACAAAATACTCCAGATTTTTTGTACAAAAATCTTCAATGTCTTGTTATTGATGAAGCCGATCGCATTTTAGATATTGGTTTTGAAGAAGAACTTAAGCAAATTATTAATATTTTACCAAGTTAGTTTAATATATTTTAAACATAAATAATAAAAAAAAGAAAATATACAATTAATTATAAAATATTTTATTATAGAAAAAAGACAAACAATGTTGTTCAGTGCAACACAAACTAAGAAAACAGAAATGTTAATGACTTTAGCTTTAAAAAAAGAACCAGTTTATGTTGGTGTTGATGATGATAAAGAAAAGGCAACAGTAGAAGGTTTAGAGCAAGGTTATGTTGCATGTCCCAGTGAAAAAAGATTTTTACTTTTATTCACTTTCTTGAAAAAAAACAGAAAGAAAAAAATCATGGTTTTCTTCAGTTCATGCATGTCAGTTAAATATCATCATGAACTTTTAAATTACATTGATTTGCCAGTATTAAGTATACATGTATGGTCATGTAATGTAAAGGATTTGCAATTAACATAAAAATATGATTTTTATATTATATATTTAATTATTTAATAGGGAAAACAAAAACAGACAAAGAGAACAACAACATTTTTCCAATTTTGTAATGCTTCTTCTGGTATTCTTCTCTGTACTGATGTAGCTGCACGTGGTCTTGATATACCAGCTGTTGATTGGATTGTACAATATGATCCTCCAGATGATCCCAAAGTAAATTTCTTATAACATATAAAATTTTAAAATTCATAAATTCATATGTTCAGAATAAATTTTTTATATATCATATATAAAGCTGATAATGATAATATTAAAAATGAATATTGTTTTAGGAATATATTCATCGTGTAGGTAGAACAGCTCGTGGAGAAGGTAGCAGTGGCCATGCTTTACTTATTTTAAGACCAGAAGAACTTGGCTTTCTTCGTTATCTTAAACAAGCTAAAGTACCTGTAAATGAGTTTGATTTTTCATGGAATAAAATTGCTGATATTCAATTACAAGTAAATATATAAATTTTCTTTTCTATTATATATATATAATTAAATACTTTTAAAATTTGAAAAATTTTATGTTTGTTACATTCATTATTTTATTAAACTTTTTTCTAATTAATTTTATTAAATTTTTCTATTTGATTTTAGTAAATTTCTTTTTACTATAAGATTAAGTTGTGCTAGACTTTCTTAGCAAGTAGATTTTAAAACAACTTTAACACTTAAAACAATATAAAAAAATACATATAAACATAAATTTTAATATTTTCATATTTCCAATTTTTTATTTAATTCTTTTAGATTTTATTTTTAATTAATTGCAAATGATATATTTCTTAAATAAATCAACTAATATTTATTACTTATATTTATTGTTTAAATTTATTGTCATTTAATGTTAAATTAAAAATTTCTTATTATATTTAAATATTTTAATAATTTATTATAGTTTATTTAACAATTGTTATTTTATTATATGCTAATTGTCATTATTTAAATTTTATTATATTAAAATAATAAATTGCTTTTTATCTTTTTAGCTTGAAAAATTGGTTTCAAAAAATTATTTTCTTAATATGTCAGCAAAAGAAGCATTTAAAGCATATGTGAGAGCATATGACTCTCATCATTTGAAACAAATTTTTAATATTGAAACATTGGACTTAGCAAAAGTTGCAAAATCTTTTGGATTTGTTGTTCCTCCAGCTGTGGATTTAAGTATCCTTTTTAATATTATATATAATTATTAATAATTTAAATTTTAGATTTTATTTAATTCTAATTATTACATTTATTATGTTTTTATAGAAAATTAAATTTATTTATATAAAATATTGAAAATATTTTATTTCTTATGTTTATAGAATATAGAGTACAGAAAATCTCTTGTTTATTATTTATATAAATTTTTGTATGGATTATTTTATATTTTTTTTGTTTTTATAACAATTATAAAAGATGCTTTTTTCTTAACATCATATCACTGTAGAAGTAGGAGTTAATAAAAATTCACGTCCACGAAAGAGATTAAGTGAAGGCGGTTATGGATACTTCAAAAATACGAACAATTCAAATTCAGAAAAACAATTACAACGCAGTAAAACTTATCGTTTAATAAATAAACATACAAAAGATAATCGACAGTTTGTTAGATAATTATTAATATAAATATTTCTAGTAAATTAAATAATTTTTATAAATTATATTTACGATTTTTGTTTATATAATTCAAAAAAATCGATAATTATCTGATAAAAATATAACTATTGTAAAATTCTTATAATAAAATACTTTTTACAATATATACATAAATTACATATAAATAATAGTATTTAAATTTAATTTACAGTTTAATTTTGATGCTTAATAATAAATAACTTTATAAAGAAATAACAAAACTAAAAAATATCTAACTGGTAAGAAATAATAAGAGAAATACTTTATAATGTGTACACCTACGCTATTTCTCAGTAGGACCATGTATGGTACATGTTGTATGACGTCAACGCTACTTTACATTACCAACACATGTGTGTAGGCGTGTTGGATATGGCGCAAAAGGTAACGCTCATGGAACACTAAGGTGACAAACTTTAAAGTCGATCTTTATTTTTGAATATTTTTATAGATTATTATTTATAAAATTGTTCATTTTTTAAAGATCTAAATATATATATATATGTTTTTGGAATTTATAAACATAATATATTTTAAACATTAAGAAACAATATATTGATACATTATATATGTATTGAATTTAATGATGTTAGATTTGTAACATAATATAAAAACAGATACTAATTAAAAATTTTTAATTGTTTTTATAAAATTAAAAAAAATTGACTTTTTATATTGAAAATTTAATAAGATTATTATCCTTAAAAAAATATATTTTTTTAATAAAATATAAAAAAATTTTTTCTTAATAATATTTAATATTTAATACTATTTTTTTTATATAACATCTTTCTTTATATTAAAATAAAAGAATATGTATTTTATTATGAATAAATAATAAAATAATAAATTCATTCTATTAATCAAATAATTTATTTAAATTTGTTTCTATATATAATGATATAAATATATCTTGAAAATTTATAATATTATTCTGTTATTAATTATTTATTCAATTATAATAAATAACGAAATAAATAAATACGAAAAGCATAAAAATGTAAAATATTGATATGACCTTCATCTACAACTTTTGCTAGATACTGTTGTACAGCACAAGTTACAAGTTCTGAATCATAATTAGATTTATTTAATTTAATACATATGTATGTATAAAATTTATATATATATATGTCATTTTATAATATTTAAAATGAAAAAAATGTTTTAAAAAAGAAATATAATTAAATACACTAATTAATAATTGTAAATTTACGATTTTAAAACATATGCAATGATAAAAAGAAGTCTAACTTAAATGGATCAGATGATTTTTAATTCATATTGATATTAATACTTAAAAGAAAAAAATTTTTTTTAATTTATATTTTTTTTATAATTTATAATTTCAATTTCAAATACATTTGAAAAACTTCTAATTGCTTTTGTTATTATAATTTATATATTCATTTTATTTTACAAACATTAACATACATATTTTTAGAGATCTTCATTGATTTATCGAAATCAATATCCTGTAAAAAATAGAATTTTACATTTTAATGTAGAGATTTAATATCGATTGTGATACCAATATTATGCAAACTTATCGATAATATCAAAATCGCATATCAAAATTGATTTTTTATATTATATTTTGTATATTTAAAATCGATTAATTTCATCATTTTATATTTTTCAAATTTACATAAAAATAATCTTAATATAAAAAATAATTTTATATAATATATTATATTGTATGTTTTTTTTTTGAATTTTGAGATTTATTAAGAATCAATTATAAAAAATATATATATATATTGAAATTAAAACTTTGCCATAAAAATTATAAAAAATATAAATATAACATTTAAATATTATAAAAATATATTGTGTAATTTTAAAACAAAATCATAAAATTGAGATTTTTTATTTTAAAATGAAATAATAAGATAATTTGAAAATATTGTTGATAATGTTTTCCTTCGAAAACTGATGCTGTTTCAGACAAATGAAACATTTATAACTATCTTATTGATCATGGATCATTAATGACATACTAACTATTTCAAAAATAATATCTTTTTTAAAAATTGCATATTATTTATTATGTTATCATTATTAGATTATTAATCAAAATACTTGAAAACAAAATTTTTTAAATTTTTTAATTGATTATTCTTTATTAAGCCAGGATTTATTACTTAAAAGTTAAAAAATACTAGTTAAGAAAATAATCCATTATAATTAAAAATAAGACTTACAGTATTTTAAATAAAAATAATTTGTCATTCGAGATAATGAAAACTGGACAAGCAAAGAAAATTAATGAATGAATTCCGTTTACGATAAGTTAAACAATATATAAAAACTTAAAATGAAACTAGTCATTTTATTATATCAATAAAATAAAAATATATCATAATTTATGACAGAAAATCGTGATCATAATATTCAGTAAAATTAACATTTAAATAAGTAAAATATAAAATAAGTAAAAATGTAGACATTATGTAGATATTAAAATCAATTTCAAGAAAAATAATAGTGATGATTCGATGATTCATTTGTAAGATTTATTTATTATGTATTATATATTCAATTCGATATTATAATTAGAATAGGAGATACTGTAAATAAATGCATATAAAATAAATATGAAACAATTTATTAGTGAAAAATTAGAATTTTATTATATAAATTACATATTTGTTTGTATATTAAAAATAATTTCATAAAAATTTTAAGAACCAAAATACAAAATTTTCTGGAAATCTTTATTCACAATCTTTATTCACAAATTATTATTTTTAAAAAATATTTTAATGGAAAAAATATTAAAAATTAAGAATTTTAATCTAATATGTACTCGCTTCATAGAAAAAAAAGAATATTAATGAAAAAATATAAAACAAATAAATAATATCTTGATTATAATATAGATATATTTTGAGATATATTTTCTTTAAACATAAATTTCATTCATTTTAGTTAATTTTTTTGTGCAATAAAGTTTAATTCAAAAAACATTATTTATTAATTTTTTGCAATTTATTAATGATTATCATATCTCCTATGCGATATATTAATTAATTCATAGTTTGAATCTGTATGATATGACATTCTGTGTGGTTGCAAATTGAAAGTAGGTAGTACTAAATTAATTATGCATTCTTCAAAGTATACTGCTTTGAGATTATAACGTAGTTAAATGCGTTGATATTTCATAATATTATAATCGGAAAGATTTTGCATGCTAAAATAAATCCTATGTTCATGTTATGTGATCAATTAAAAATTTTTTTGATCTTTTAATATACTTAACAATTTATTTTTTTTATAAATAGATAGTATACACAAAAACAAAAGATATAAAATAAAAATTTATAAAATATAAATAAATAAAAAAAAATAAATTTATATTTTATTTGTAATTTCTTTTAATATAATATTTTTATTATAATTTACATAATATAGATTTAAGAAAAAGAAATTTTTTATTAAAATAAATAATTATATAGATTGATATTCGTACATATTATATAATAATGCATAATAATATATTATATAATCAATTTCTTGATAATTAGTTTTCAAATAAATGTTTAAATTATAAATAATATTTATATCTATACTATATAATATAATAATTTTATATTATAACTTTATTTATATATATAAATATTTATAAATAAAATAAATATTTAAATTAAATAAAAGTTTTTACGCTACCATAAATTAAAAAACTATTTATAATAAATATTACAACAATTATTTTATGATTATTTTATGGAATTTTATTCATCTATAAAGTTTTGTATACAAAATGATTTTCAGCTGACTCTAAAATATCGAGTTAAAGCCGAAATCTATATTTAGCTTGCAGTTTATTTAAAGCATTACATGTGTTTCGTTAGATGATCAGTTAATTTCATCGAACTTATAAAAATCAGTCATAAATGATAAATCAGAAATAAAGAAAATTATTAAAGAAAAGTAAAGATATGTTTAGAAATAAACTTATTAAAAATTTATCAAAAATGTCCAATTCATTTTCTTATATTAAATATATAATAATTAAATGAATAAAATTTATATAATAGATTGATTATTTGTAGATAAACATCCTTCAATCTAGTGGTTCTTTACATAACGATAGAATATGTGAATATATATTTCACGATGTCCATTAACAAAAAGAGTTTTACGAAATACTCGTCGAGTCGTGAATCATGAGGATTATAAGATACAGGGTACAGTAGTAGATAACTACGACCCTGAATTATCCAACTTGTATGCGACGATAGTATGGTGCGTACCTCAGTACTCGCGCGTATGCAGAGGCCGTATATGGTAGTGGGCGGTAGAAGCGCGCCGATAGAGGTACGCAAGAACCAATGCGCGCGGAACATATGCGCAAAATGAATGCTGCGCATGCGTCTAAACTCAAGAATCTATGGGTAGTTCACCGCGGCACATGCACGGATGGTGCAGTAGAGCCGAGAATCCCGTAGCGTGTGTTTGTTTTTAATTTCGCGATCTACGATCTAACTTTTTAACCTTAACAGAATCCGATTCGTAAAAGAGGCTGTATTCTTTCTCTCTCTTTTCCCCCTCTTCTCTCTTTTTCTCCTCTCTCTTTCTTTTAGTGTCTAATTTTCCTGCCTTTTCCTTCCTCTATCTCTTTTCCCTTTTTCTCCTTCCCCCTCTTCGTTCTTTTCTTTTCCCCTTCTCTCTCCTCTCCTTCCTTCTTTTCCTCCTCCTCCTCCTCCTCTTCCTTCTCCTCCTCTTCCTCCTCCTCCTCCATATCCCCTCTTGCTTCTTTGCTTCTCTCTTATTCTGAACATTACTCTCTCTCTTGCTCTCTCTTTTCCCTCTTACTACCTTGCCTGTTTCTGTCGCTCTTATATACTTTTCTTCCCTCCTCCTCATCCTCCTTTCCTCCTCCTCCTCCTCCTCCTCCTCCTCCTCCTCCTTACACATAGTATACTGACTCCGCTATTTCTAAAAACGTAACGCAATCGTGGCGACGTATGCGAGGAGCGCGCCAGAGAAAACACGAGTGAGAAGGCGCGACGTACGAACAGCAAGTTATATTAATTACGAGATATAATTGTGCGAGAAAAATAAAAAAGCAAAGTGATATAATAGTGAATAACGAAAAAAAACAGCATTACCATTGTGCAAAACTAAACGTGGAAGGATTGCTGTTGTTTTGGATCTTAATCGCAACGTCGTCTGTCTCTTGCTCGTTTACGTTTAACGTTCACTTTTTCTTTCCGTTTCCCTTTCTTTGCAATACCTTTTTGTTTTTGTATCTTTTTCTATTTTCGCGTGACCGCCATAGGAGTAATCAAGTAATTGCGATGTGTGATAATACTAACACGACGACGCAGAGTATAGCGGACTACCTGTCACAGTTACTAAAAGATCGAAAGCAGTTAGCTGCTTTCCCTAATGTCTTCATACATGTAGAGCGCCTACTAGACGAAGGTAAGCAACCATTAATCCACTAATATCTTCTATACCTTCGGTAATGCATCATTTCATTCGCGACACGCCTTACTTTGGTTTGCATGATTAACGCCCACAGCGATTCATACTTAGAGTTCGGTCCAAACATGTTTTACATGCCTGTGAAACTTTCGCCATGGTTTCCAAGATCTTATGGATTTCGTTACGGCATTCGTGCACGCGAAAAAAATACATAACGTCGAGAAACGTTGCTCATGCCATGCCATGAAAGACTGGTTTTTGTTGCCTTGTAGTTTGCCATAATCGGCAACGAACTGTTCGCAAACATAGTATCTCGATCATGTGTCACGTGTTACGCGTCCCGGTCTACTCTTCGTGTCTTCGAGCCTGCCGTTCACTTTATTTTTCCAATTTTCAACATCGGAGTGAGAAGAACAGGAAATTAACTTATTCAATGTAAGTTGATCAAAATAACTTACAATTTCATGTGACTTACGATTCATATAACTGATCGATTCCACTAATTTTCACACGATTCGGTCTATTCAAGTTTGATACAGAATGGCATACTATTGAGAAAACAAAATATATAGAGAAAACAATTATTAATAAAAATTAAATATATCAAGTATTTTAGAACACTGAAAAATATTGCGGAAATTTGTGATAAACATTTTTTATGAATTTTATCTAAAGATATTTTTTATGTACCTTTTTTTATTTTTAATATATATATATGTATTTTCTAAATAATTTGTTTCACTTATATTAATTGTATTTCTGAAGAATAGTTTTTCGCTCTCTACTTTCTTTTTTGGACAATTTTATGCGTGCTTATATGTACACATATGCGCGAATATATGCTACGTTTATATTTTTTTTATAAAAAATTTATTTCTAAATAAACTTAATATTGTTTAATAAATATATTGTAACATATATATGCTAACAAATCAATTTTATGCATATGTATATTTAAAAATTATTTGGAAATATTAGTATTTATTTTTATATATAAATTATTTTTTTGTTTTTTTGAATTGTATTTCTATATTCTGTTGTAATAATATATTATATATATAATTATAATATATAATAATATATAATTATAAATGTATATATATTATAATATTATTATAATTATAACAATTATATATATATAGTGTATTATATTTTGCAATTTTATATATAAGCATATATATATATTATATATTTTATATATATAGCAT